TAGATAACACTGTATCAACACTTATATAACACTTATATAACACTTTATCAACACTTATATAACACTGTATCAACACTTATATAACACTGTATAAACACTTATATAACACTGTATCAAAACTTATATAACACTAAGATAACACTGTATCAACACTTATATAACACTTATATAACACTGTATCAACACTTATATAACACTTATATAACACTGTATCAACACTTATATAACACTTATATAACACTGTATCAACACTTAGATAACACTGTATCAACACTTATATAACACTTATATAACACTGTATCAACACTTATATAACACTTATATAACACTGTATCAACACTTATATAACACTTATATAACACTGTATCAACACTTAGATAACACTGTATCAACACTTATATAACACTGTATCAACACTTATATAACACTGTATCAACACTTATATAACACTGTATCAACACTTATATAACACTTAGATAACACTGTATCAACACTTAGATAACACTGTATCAACACTTATATGACACTTATATAACACTGTATCAACACTTAGATAACACTGTATCAACCCTTACATAACACTTATATAACACTGTATCAACACTTAGATAACACGGTATCAGCTCTTAGATAACACTTAGATAACACTGTATCAACACTTATATAACACTTAGATAACACTGTATCAACACTTAGATAACACTGTATCAACACTTATATAACACTTATATAACACTGTATCAACACTTAGATAACACGGTATCAGCTCTTAGATAACACTTAGATAACACTATATCAACACTTATATAACACTTATATAACACTGTATCAACACTTAGATAACACTGTATCAACACTTAGATAACACTGTATCAACACTTAGATAACACTTATATAACACTGTATCAACACTTATATAACACTGTATCAACACTTATATAACACTAAGATAACACTGTATCAACGCTTAGATAACACTGTATCAACACTTAGATAACACTGTATCAAAACTTATATAACACTGTATCAAAACTTATATAACACTTATATAACACTGTATCAACACTTAGATAACACTGTATCAACCCTTATATAACACTTATATAACACTGTATCAACACTTAGATAACACTGTATCAAAACTTATATAACACTGTATCAAAACTTATATAACACTTATATAACACTGTATCAACACTTAGATAACACTGTATAACACTTATATAACACTGTATCAACACTTAGATAACACTGTATCAAAACTTATATAACACTGTATCAAAACTTATATAACACTAAGATAACACTGTATCAACACTTATATAACACTTATATAACACTGTATCAACACTTATATAACACTTATATAACACTGTATCAACACTTATATAACACTAAGATAACACTGTATCAACACTTAGATAACACTGTATCAACCCTTATATAACACTTATATAACACTGTATCAACACTTATATAACACTTATATAACACTGTATCAACACTTATATAACACTTATATAACACTGTATCAACACTTAGATAACACTGTATCAACACTTATATAACACTGTATCAACACTTATATAACACTAAGATAACACTGTATCAACACTTAGATAACACTGTATCAACACTTAGATAACGCTTAGATAACACTGTATCAACACTTAGATAACGCTTAGATAACACTGTATCAACACTTAGATAACACTGTATCAACACTTAGATAACACTGTATCAACACTTATATAACACTTATATAACACTGTATCAACACTAAGATAACACTGTATCAACACTTATATAACACTTATATAACACTGTATCAACACTAAGATAACACTGTATCAACACTTAGATAACACTGTATCAACACTTAGATAACACTGTATCAACACTTAGATATATAACACTTATATAACACTGTATCAACACTTATATAACACTGTATCAACACTTAGATAACACTGTATCAATACTTAGATAACACTGTATCAACACTTATATAACACTTATATAACACTGTATCAACGCTTAGATAACACTGTATCAACACTTATATAACACTTATATAACACTGTATCAACGCTTAGATAACATTGTATCAACACTTATATAACACTTAGATAACACTGTATCAACACTTAGATAACACTGTATCAACACTTATATAACACTTATATAACACTGTATCAACGCTTAGATAACACTGTATCAACACTTAGATAACGCTTAGATAACACTGTATCAACACTTAGATAACATTGTATCAACACTTAGATAACACTGTATCAACACTTATATAACACTGTATCAACACTTATATAACACTAAGATAACACTGTATCAACACTTAGATAACACTGTATCAACACTTATATAACACTAAGATAACACTGTATCAACGCTTAGATAACACTGTATCAACACTTAGATAACGCTTAGATAACACTGTATATATAACACTTATATAACACTGTATCAACACTTATATAACACTGTATCAACACTTATATAACACTAAGATAACACTGTATCAACGCTTAGATAACACTGTATCAACACTTAGATAACGCTTAGATAACACTGTATCAACACTTAGATAACACTTATATAACACTGTATCAACACTTAGATAACACTGTATCAACACTTATATAACACTGTATCAACACTAAGATAACACTGTATCAACACTTATATAACACTAAGATAACACTGTATCAACACTTAGATAACACTGTATCAACACTTATATAACACTTATATAACACTGTATCAACACTTAGATAACACTGTATCAACCCTTATATAACACTTATATAACACTGTATCAACACTTATATAACACTTATATAACACTGTATCAACACTTAGATAACACTGTATCAACACTTATATAACACTGTATCAACGCTTAGATAACACTGTATCAACACTAAGATAACACTGTATCAACGCTTAGATAACATTGTATCAACGCTTAGATAACACTGTATCAACACTTAGATAACGCTTAGATAACACTGTATCAACACTTATATAAAACTTATATAACACTGTATCAACACTTAGATAACACTGTATCAACACTAAGATAACACTGTATCAACACTTAGATAACACTGTATCAACGCTTAGATAACACTGTATCAACACTTAGATAACGCTTAGATAACACTGTATCAACACTTAGATAACACTTATATAACACTGTATCAACACTTAGATAACACTGTATCAACACTTATATAACACTTATATAACACTGTATCAACACTTAGATAACACTGTATCAACACTTAGATAACACTGTATCAACACTAAGATAACACTGTATCAACACTAATATAACACTGTATCAACACTTATATAACACTAAGATAACACTGTATCAACACTTAGATAACGCTTAGATAACACTGTATCAACACTTATATAACACTGTATCAACACTTATATAACACTAAGATAACACTGTATCAACACTTATATAACACTAAGATAACACTGTATCAACACTTAGATAACATTGTATCAACGCTTAGATAACATTGTATCAACACTAAGATAACACTGTATCAACGCTTAGATAACACTGTATCAACACTAAGATAACACTGTATCAACACTTAGATAACACTGTATCAACGCTTAGATAACACTGTATCAACACTTAGATAACGCTTAGATAACACTGTATCAACGCTTAGATAACACTGTATCAACACTAAGATAACACTGTATCAACACTTAGATAACACTGTATCAACGCTTAGATAACACTGTATCAACACTTAGATAACACTGTATCAACACTTAGATAACATTGTATCAACACTTAGATAACACTGTATCAACACTTAGATAACACTGTAACAACACTTAGATAACACTAAGATAACACTGTATCAACGCTTAGATAACACTGTATCAACACTTAGATAACATTGTATCAACACTTAGATAACACTGTATCAACACTTAGATAACACTGTATCAACACTTAGATAACACTGTATCAAAACTTATATAACACTAAGATAACACTGTATCAACGCTTAGATAACACTGTATCAACACTTAGATAACACTGTATCAACACTTAGATAACACTGTATCAACACTTAGATAACATTGTATCAACACTTAGATAACACTGTATCAACACTTAGATAACACTGTATCAACACTAAGATAACACTGTATCAACACTTAGATAACACTAAGATAACACTGTATCAACGCTTAGATAACACTGTATCAACACTTAGATAACGCTTAGATAACACTGTATCAACACTTAGATAACATTGTATCAACACTTAGATAACACTGTATCAACACTTAGATAACACTGTATCAACACTTAGATAACACTGTATCAAAACTTATATAACACTAAGATAACACTGTATCAACGCTTAGATAACACTGTATCAACACTTAGATAACACTGTATCAACACTTAGATAACACTTAGATAACACGGTATCAGCACTTAGATAACACTATATCAACACTTAGATTACACTTAGATAACACTGTATCAATACTTAGAAAACACTGTGTCAACACTTAGATAACACTGTATCAATACTTAGAAAAACACTATATCAACACTTAAATAACACTTAGATAACACGGTATCATCACTTAGATAACACTTAGATAACAATATATCAACACTTAGATAACACTTAGATAACACTGTATCAACACTTAGATAACACTATATCAACACTTAGATAACACTTAGATAACACTGATCAACACTTAGATAACACTGTATCAATACTTAGATAACACTGTATCAACACTTAGATAACACTGTATCAACACTTAGATAACACTGTATCAATACTTAGATAACAATGCCTATTTGAAACAGATGACACCAACGTCTTCCTGGTGATCACAGTTGTGAACTTTCCATCCATTGTTTGGACATTCGGTGATCATTTCTTCCGTTCCTTTACATTGTACTTGGTCCATTACTATTTCAAGATCACCTTTGCTGTAATATTGCCCCGGGGCAATAAGTGCTGTTCCACTTCTGTTAAAAATGAACAAACAACAACATGACCTATTTTCTGGATAAATGATATTTGAGGATATGTTTTCTGATTAGGTATGGACGGTTATCTATGATAACGTAGTTGAGGCTAGGTGTGTATACTAAGTATACTATTATCATGATGGTTATTGGTGATGTAACCCTTTCTCGGGTATATAATGGGGCTATTGGTGACAGGACAAGCAGTCCATAGACCTGAGTGAGTATTACAGCTGTCAGAAATTTTAACTTAATGATTATTTCCGTTCTAATCAACAGGATACTGTCAGTTAATGTTATGATAGTAACTGTTAGGATTGTAACCGTTCGGATTGTTACTTTTAGGATTGTACCGTAACTGTTAGGATTGTTTCCGTTAGGATTGTTACTGTTAGAATTGTTATGATTGTTACTGTTAGGATTATAAGGAATGTAACTGTTAGGATTATAACTGTTAGGATTGTTACTGTTAGGATTGTTACTTTTAGGATTGTTACTTTTAGGATTGTAACTGTTAGGATTATAACTGTTAGGATTGTTACTGTTAGAATTGTTATGATTGTTACTGTTAGGATTATAAGGACTGTAACTGTTAGGATTATAACTGTTAGGATTATAACTGTTAGGATTGTTACTTTTAGGATTGTTACTTTTAGGATTGTAACTGTTAGGATTGTAACTTTTAGGATTATAACTGTTAAGATTGTTGCTGTTAGGATTGTTACTTTTAGGATTGTAACTGTTAGGGTTGTAACTTTTAGGATTGTTACTGTTAGGATCATAAGGACTGTAACTGTTATTATTATAACTGTTAGGATTGTTACCGTTAGGATACTTAGGATTGTTGCTGTTAGGATTGTTACTGTTAGGATTGTTACTTTTAGGATTATAACTGTTAAGATTGCTGCTGTTAGGATTGTTACTTTTAGGATTATAACTGTTAAGATTGTTGCTGTTAGGATTGTTACTTTTAGGATTGTAACTGTTAGGGTTGTAACTTTTAGGATCATAAGGACTGTAACTGTTAGGATTATAAGTGTTAGGATTGTTACCGTTAGGATACTTAGGATTGTAACTGTTAGGATTGTTAGGATTGTTACTGTTAGGATTGTTACCGTTAGGATACTTAGGATTGTAACTGTTAGGATTGTTGCTGTTAGGATTGTTACTTTTAGGATTGTAACTGTTAGGATTGTAACTGTTAGGATTGCAACTGTTAGGATTGTTACCGTTAGGATACTTAGGATTGTAACTGTTAGGATTGTTACTGTTAGGATTGTTACTTAGGATTGTTACTGTTAGGATTGTTACTGTTAGGATTGTTACCGTTATGATACTTAGGATTGTAACTGTTAGGATTGTTACTGTTAGGATTGTAACTGTTAGGATTGTTACTGTTAGGATTGTTACCGTTAGGATTGGTACTGTTAGGATTGTTAAAACTGTAACTGTTCGGATTGTTACTGTTAGGATTGTAACTGTTAGGATTGTTACTGTTAGGATTGTTACTGTTAGGATTGTAACTGTTAGGATTGTTAAAACTGTAACTGTTAGGATTGTTACTGTTAGGATTGTAACTTTTAGGATTGTCAATGTTAGGATTGTTAAAACTGTAACTGTTCGGATTGTTACTGTTAGGATTGTTACTCTTAGGATTGTTACCGTTAGGTTTGTTACCGTTAGGATTATAAGGATTGTAACTGTTAGGATTATAACTGTTAGGATTATAACTGTTAGGATTGTAACTGTTAGGATTGTTATTGTTAGGATTGAAACTTTTAGGATTGTTACTGTTAGGATTGTAACCGTTCGGATTGTTACTTTAGAATTGTACCGTAACTGTTAGGATTGTTACCGTTAGGATCGTTACGTTTAGGATTGTTACTATTAGGATTGTTACTGTTAGGATTGTTAGAATTGTAACTTTTAGGATTGTTACCGTTAGGATTGTTACCGTTAGAATTGTTACCGTTATGATTGTTAGTATTAGGATTATAAGGATTGTTACTGTTAGGATTGTTACTGTTAGGATTGTAACTGTTAGGATTGTTACTGTTAGGATTGTAACCGTTCGGATTGTTACTTTTAGGATTGTACCGAAACTGTTAGGATTGTTACCGTTAGGATTGTTACTTTTAGGATTGTTACTGTTAGGATTGTTAGAATTGTAACTGTTAGGATTGTTACCGTTAGAATTGTTTTCGTTAGGATTGTTATTGTTAGGATTGTAACAGTTAGGATTGCTACTGTTAAGATTGTAACTGTTAGGATTATAACTGTTAGGTTTGTAACCGTTCGGATTGTTACTTTTAGGATTGTTACTGTTAGGATTGTTTTCGTTAGGATTGTAACTGTTAGGATTGTTACTGTTGGGATTACAAGGATTGTAACTGTTAGGATTATAACTGTTCGGATTGTTACTGTTAGGATTGTTACTTTTAGGATTGTTTCCTTTAGGATTGTTACCATTAGGATTGTAACTGTTAGGATTGTTACTGTTAGGATTGTTACTATTAGGATGGTAAATATTAGGATTGTTACTGTTAGGATTGTAACTGTTAAGATTGTTACTTTTAGGATTGTTACTATTAGGATTATTACTGTAAGGATTGTTAGGATTGTTACTGTTAGGATTGTAACCGTTCGGATTTTTACTAAAGCGAAATCACGGCACCAATAAAGTGAAGTCACAGGTCACGGCGCCAATAAAGTGAAGTCACGGGACCAATAAAGTGATGAGGTGTCCGATAAAGTGTAGTGGGTGAACTTCTTTGTTGTGAATGAAGAGTGGTGCAGTGTTGAGTGGAGATGAAGAAATCCAAACGCTGTTCAGGTTGATGTAAATTTATTGTGTGTAGACATGGAGAGGTGGTACACTCGCATGCCTTCAGGAACCGATTCGACTGGCTAGAAACCTAGTCGTATTTATACTAAAATTCGTAGACATTGATAATCTAATATTACATATTTGCTAGCAAGAAGTGGATAATACACGAGTTATTTACATGGTCTAATACACACACATAGTGGTAGGTTAGGTTGTTTACGACAAGCTTAGGTTTTGCTGACCAGTCCTGCAGACGGTATTGGTAAGCTTATGTAATTACGCAAATAACCAGGGAGCGAATGTATACTGGACAACACGTTATTTATTCACAAGTCTACAAGTGTCATCAATAGATTAAGCTGTCTCCTTCTGGCATTTAAATTACGATTAGAAGTCTGACTTATGTCTAGTAGACTACAGTTTTGGATAGTTTAATTTAACTTACATATTAACATTTAATAGTTCATTCGTCCCTTTGTATAAAATTGATTTCAAATTAGTTATAATTTTGACATCATCTATGAAAATATTAATAGTTCGTTACGTCCCTTACTGTTAGGATTGTAACTGTTAAGATTGTTACTTTTAGAATTGTTACTATTAGGATTGTTACTTTTAGGATTATAACTGTTAGGATTGCAACTGTTAGGATTGTTATTGTTAGGATTGTAACTTTTAGGATTGTTACTGTTAGGATTGTAACCGTTCGGATTGTTACTTTTAGGATTGTACCGAAACTGTTAGGATTGTTACCGTTACTGTTAGGATTGTTACTGTTAGGATTGTTACTGTTAGGATTGTTACTGTTAGGATTGTTACTGTTAGGATTGTTACTGTTAGGATTGTAACTGTTAGGATTGTTACTGTTAGGATTGTTACTGTTAGGATTGTTACTGTTAAGATTGTTACTGTAAGGATTGTTACTTAGGATTGTTACTGTTAGGATTGTTACTGTTAGGATTGTTACTGTTAGGATTGTTACTGTTAGGATTGTTACTGTTAGGATTGTTACTGTTAGGATTGTTACTGTTAGGATTGTTACTGTTAGGATTGTTACTGTTAGGATTGTTACTGTTAGGATTGTTACTGTTAGGATTGTTACTTAGGATTGTTACTGTAAGGATTGTTACTGTTAGGATTGTTACTGTTAGGATTGTTACTGTTAGGATTGTTGACATTAGGATTGGTACCAACATTGTTGCTCGTCAGGTTTTCATAACTTTACATATGACAGAATTAAACTGAAATATACCAAAAGAAATATGTGGCCAGCTCTGGCGGAAACAATATAAAAAATGCAACTAAATGATGTATTTAAAACTTACGTGTAACCTACGAGTTTGATCTTGCTACTGTTTAAGAATTTTACCGGTACGGTTATGAGGAAATCTGTATATAACACTTACCCGTAACCAAGCGATCTGCAGACTACAGAAGCACCAGTGTCATTCCAGTCGTCATTACAAATTGTCCCCCACTCACCGCCCCGGTATACCTCCAGTCTACCCTGAGATTGGCTCGTACCGTTAACGATTCGCACTGCAGCACCACAGAATATAGAATGTGTTTGTAATCTGTCTCAACAACAGATTTAGTGATGAAGTTATAGCGTTATTATAGTCGGTACGCATGCATGATTGTATGGTAATGACAATAACTATGAAACAAGACTGTCTGTCTGTCTGTCCGTCTGTCTGTCTGTCTGTCTGATACAATAAAACACTCAGCGCAATGTTAAACAAGGTACGTCAATATTACTTACCGTAGTGGTTATATACCAGCACGTGCGCACCACTCGACAAGGAAACGCAGACTTTGTACAGTGGGATGGTAACAGTGGTGCACGATCCAAGTCGGTACTGTTATAAAAATGAATAATACTAGATATAGTATTCCGTGACAGACAGACATTCAACCAGCCAGACATAGACAGATTGCCTGTCTGACAGAGAGAGACAGACAGACACAGACAGACTGTCTGCATGTCTAACGGACAGACAGACAGACAGACAGAGAGACAGACAGACAATATATATGTCATAAGAATAAGAAATTTCGAAATCATTTGAATTATTGATCAAGAACACTAACACCTTTCTTGCATTTCTGTTGATCCCTTTTGGTTTTTCCCAGTCGCCCTCTAGATTTCAAAATTTAAAGCCTAATTATGTGCAGTCAAAGGTGCTAACTGTGTGTGTTTTTTGAAAACAAGATGTGTATTAGTGAACACGCGGATAGCTCGGAGCAAACCATCTGGAGCAACAAGGGTAAGACATTTCATTCATGGTCACAACTATGTCAGAACATACCTGTTGATTTCTCGCATTACGTTACCAAAGTTGGAATGTTAATTAGGCGCCATTGACTGCCATGGTTCCTTTTGTTATGTCCAATTACATTTTAATGCATCTGTAATAGGAAGGAGTATGAAAATCACCCTGTCACCGTTGGGGTTCGAACTAGCGACCCTTCGGTCTCAAGCCCATCAATCTACCATTCGACTGAAGGTAAATTCCCACTAGCCGAGACCAGTAAGGCGACCTGTACTCTCAAGTTCTACACATGATTGAAAAGGACTGTTCAACCAAGCATGTAAAGCAAGGTTATACTACGAGTCTCTAGCACGGTTTAGTGCTACTTAGAGTTTAGCTCATGTAGCCCGACTTTGTAATGCGCAGTGGAGATTCGTGTAACAATCAATAGCACCTGTCTCACGAGAGGTTTATCAGTTTCTTCTTCATGTGATTTTGTCGCCAGCAGGATCACTGATCACAAAAATAATATTGATGCGGATTTCGTTTTTCAATAGGTGGATTCATTATCAAGCTTCACACAGTTATAGAAAATGAGACAGGAATAACAACCTTTATCCAGATATTCCACGCAAAACCAATTAGAGCGAAAGTAAAATAACGAGTGTTACATCATATTCAAAATACAAAGAATGTATTGTGTTAATGTAAATATTAATTGTGGAAGCAAAAAAAAAAAAAAAAATCAATCAATAAAATAAATAAATAAATAAATAGATAAATAGTGACCACGTGCCGAGGATCGATACAAGTGATCTGAACGATAAGGACTTTTTTTAACTTCCAGGCCAAATATCCAATAAATTCACGTTCTGAAATTGTTTTTGTTACAATCTGATGGAAAGGTGTTTCTATATCCATCCCGTATACAGATCAACGCGTACAAAAACAAAAAACACTGCAAAGCCTAGTGATCCTTAAGCACCACCATGCATAACGCATTAATCCATTCCAACTAACGTTTTATTGCGAAATCCATATGTCTGGTTGAAATTATCTAACATATAGTGTGTAACAGGAAGGAGTATTGTAGTAACGACATGTATTGTCTTGTCTGAAGGTTAAGTAAACTTCAGTTTCTGTCTCCAGTCCTTGACAAATGCCCTTTAGTGTAGCATTTATATACAATATCATACATAATTTTGAAATATCCACCACCACCCAGGATCACGTAGCTTAATAACATAAATTTTACTTATTACATTTATCTCCATTTCTATGTCTCTTCCTCTCTCGCTTTCTCCCTCTCTTTCTCTCTCTCAGACTGTGCTTTTGTAGATGTGCATGTTTATATGTCTGTTATGAACATTAATGAGTATGGATGTGTGGATGGGCAGATATGTAAGGGACTGCATGCATGTATGATAATGATAAAATAGATGATGATATAGATGACGATGGGAATGATGCAGGTGATGATGGTGATGAATATCATCATCATCGTCGTCATCATGATAAGATTTGATGCAGGTTACGGATGATAATATATGTAAGGACAATGATGATGCTGCTGCTGCTGATGATGATGATGATAAAAAATCATTACATGTAAGTGTGCATGAATGTATGAAAATGTATGCATGATTGAGAGTGTGATTCATGTTATTATGTATTATATAAAATATCTTGTAAAAATAAAATAAATGTAAAAAAGGAAGGAGTTATGAAAAACACCTTGAAACGATAGAGGCCAGGCACAAAGGTCATCTTGGCTGCTTCAAATAGTTTACAACAGTTATTAAATTCTATAACGATACACCATTTATTGTAGTATCTACCATTATAAAAGTTGTACCAAAGACACACAAGTGAATGATAACTTTTTAAATACTCGTGAGCCTATAGTTTGTCTTAGAGTAGGAGGAAACCGGAAAACCATATATGGTCAAGCACGTGACATCGATATAAAACGTCTGTTTATGGAATCAAACTACGGACCTCTAGATGAAAGACCAGAGTGATGTCATTATACTATCCGACTAACTGAATGTAATAATGATATGAGTTATGATATTACTAAAATTAGCATTGTTACCTGGACAGATAAAAAGTTGCTTGTAGTGATCCCTGCATCTGTCGTTGGTACCAAACTTGTCGATGACGTCAATTCGCACAAGAGCCTCTCTCTATTGTAGTTTATAGCTTTGCAGTTTCCATTCCTTGCGCAATACTCGCTACACAACTGCAAGCTGACGTTGTAAAAGACGTCGAAAACGGCCGATGTTTTACCAATCGAAAAAGCATTCTGATTGAAACAGTGTCCATGAATCAGCATTGGAAGCATAACAGATGCAAGCAACAGCCTGGAATTCAAATTACACTGCATTATACCGAAAAAAAAATAACGTTATCCCTTCAAGGTCCTATACCTACATGATTCTGAATCTACAAATCATTACCCTAAAGAAGTCTTTTTTCCCATGGCACTTTATCACTTTACTATCTTCTTTACTGCTTCAGGAATATATTTCTTATCTCCTTAACTAGGATAACTAGTTATCTTCAATTATCATTACTAGTTTAGTAATTCATGGAGTACATACATAGTACCTAGATAACACATAGATAAGCTAAAACATTTACATCACGGGTTTATATATAAACATGATGATCAATTAAAACATTAATATATCCAAAACAGAAAAAAATACATCGTCATCAGCATCAAATGTTTGGGATAATTCTATTTTTTAACAAAGCCGTAAGTTTGAAATATGTGGCGATTTCATTGTTTTGGAACATATTCTTCAGGTTGGTAATGTCAATAAAATATAAATTCTTTTAACACAACCAGTAGAATATTAGAGTGTGACGTTTCCATGTCAACCCTATCACCTTATAGTTCTGATAACACGACCAGTAGAAGACTAGAGTGTGACGTTTCCATGACAACCCTGTCACCTTATAGTTCTGATAACACAACCAGTAGAAGACTAGAGTGTGACGTTTCCCTGACAAACCTGTTACCTTATAGTTCTGATAACACAACCAGTAGAAGATTAGAGTGTGACGTTTCCATGACTACACGGTCACTTTCATCAGACAAAATTTGTGTGATGAAGGTGACCGTGTAGTCATCGAATAATCACACTCTATTCTTCTTCTGGTTGTGTTATAAAAACTTCTATTCTATGTAGCCATGCCACTTACCTTAATAGATGTATATTTGCCCTTTTTAAAGCCATTCCGTATCAGAGCAAATGTATCTCGTTATCCAAGAATTAATTCCGAATAACCCAGCATGGGTGTGCTTGTTTTCAACAATTCTCAATTCCAACAATACCTAAATATAGATAGAATTGTATAATACAGACATTGCACAAACACGAGATAAAGAATTAACAACACAACACACTACATCTGACTGTCCCTGACATCGCGTTTATCTAGTAAATTGAGAATGAGCTGTTAAAATATAATATTTCATGATGACTGGATTCCAATCACCATTTCAGCTTCTATTGTTTGGGCGATGTTGGGTTGTGAATTTGCAAAACTCAGGGGTGATTCCATATATTCTATGGATCATGCAATCATGACCGTGAGATTTAGTTCACGGTTGAACGAACAAAGTCTATAAGACTCATCATATATTTATTGTTTACGTTCCGAACTAACTTCAATATGACATAATGTGTAGTTGTATTGATTAAAAAATCATGTAGATATTCTGGCAATGTACAGGAGGTAAAGAGTTAACATTATTTTCATAGAAAAAGTAACATACAAGCTTTCAAATGCTAGACTTTGATTGATTCATCAACTTGTAATAACCCCCAACCCGACACCTACGTGTCAGTTAAACTGATATTAAAATGAATTATGGTTTTATCGGTATATTGATTCTATACATATCGCTTATCATTAATATTTCACACAGAGGACAATCCCCCGTTGTCATGCGTGGGGAAATCTGACGGTTACTATACCTTCCAGGTGAATAGGTATTGCGAAACCAGCAGTGATATGTACCTGATAATAATATGTCTGTGTAAAACTTCTCGTCATGATGCAACATATTACTGTCACGATCCCGAAGTTTATGGTTACAACGGGGAGGGAACTCTCTTGTTAAATTATCTATACAATATCATCGCTTTAGCTACATGACGTTTTGTCTTCACATCAAGAGTAGAACATTTTTAATAGTCATGACGAAGCGCAAAAATACATATTAGAAAACAGACAGATACCTGTGTGTATGGCCTACAGGACGTCAGGTACTTC